CTGACCCCTCTTCCTCAGCATTCTTTATGGGCTCCTCTTCCTCTGTTTATATCATATAGATTGACGTCCCTTGGTGCTGTATTGTCTTTGTATACTTTTTTAAATTAAAATTATTGGGGTGACATTGGTTAATAAAATCAAATAGGTTTCGAGCAATTCAATAATATGTCATATGTAAATTGTGTGTTCACCATCCAAAGTTAAATTTCGTTCCGTCACCAAATATTTGAACCCGCTTACCCCTGTCCACCCCCCTCCCATCTTGTATACTCTTGTCACCCTATATGCTCCTTGGAAAATAGCAATTAAATTAATTCCAAAGTATCGACTAATACAGTAGACCTCCTTATCCACAGGAGATACATTCCAAGACACCAGTAGATACCTGGAATCAAGGATAGTACTGAACCTTTTATACACACACACACACACACACACACACACACAATGTTTTAACCTATATACACATATGATGAAGTTTAATTTATAAATTAGGCACAGTAAGAGATTTCAGCATCCGTCAGTGGATCTTGCCTGCAAAAATTATTACTGTGGCAACAATAACAAAATAAAGTAAAAACAATAATAACAACATACAATAATAAAAGTTGTATGAATGTTCTCGTTGTCATTTCTGTCTTTCTTTGTCTCTCTCTGTTTGATAATGGATTTGATAACCAAGACAGTTACTAAGTAAGTGGCTAATGGGAAGGTAGCACACACAGCTGGAGAAAAGAATGATCCACATCCTGGGTAAGAGGGCAAGAGATTTCATCACACGACTCAGAAACATGAGCAATTTAAAACTTATGAATTGTTAATTTCTAAAATTTTCCATTTAATATTTTCAGACTACAGTTGACTATGGGTAACTGAAACCACAGAAAGCAAAACTGCAGATAAGCAGGGGACTGCTGTAAATATTCACATCCTTCTCTTGACTCAAAAATCTCTCTAAACTTGGATTTCTTGAAGTTGTATCAAATTCAGCATGTTAAAAATTGAATCTTGCTTTCTCCCTCAAAAACAAAAAGTGATTTCCTTCTTGCAGCCTCTCTTTTTAGACATATCAATGAATAACACCACAAATCTACCTAGTTCCTCTGAAATTCTGAGGATTAACTCTAACCTTCTTACTTCCCTTTACCTCCTTACATCTTTCTAAAATGCAAATGAAATATGATGACAACATTCCTCTGCTTAAAATCTTAAATGACTCACTACAGTCTACAGAATAAAGTACAAAATTCCTAGCATGGCCATGATCTAGCACTCACTACTCATACAGCCTCATCTCCTGCTCCATATTCAATTTTTAAGTCCGCCAAAACAAATTAGTTGCAGTTCCCAAAATGGCCAAGTACACTCTCAAGACTGCATTTTTGTAAACATTGTTCTTTTTGGCCTTTCACTGGACTAACTTTTCCTAGTCTGCTCAGTGTGAAGTATGGATGTTGCACCTTGTATAGGGGTTATCTGACTTGCACTGGGGGAATGCACACTGCCCCAGTGCAAATCCTACAAGCCTGTACTATTATCCCCATTTTACAGATGAAGATACTAGCATAGAGAGTTTAAGGGTCTTGCCCAAAGTAATTACCAGCCAATGTCAAAGGTAGGATTCAAACTCAGGCAGTCTGGCCCTCAAGTTCATGCTTTTAACTACTACACTAAAAATGAACTTGGAGAAGTATAAAGATTTGGAAATGTCAACATATGAAAAAAAGTTAACTTCTGCAAAGTTAAAGAAAAATAAGCATTTCCTGGTGAGTTTTGTTAAATACTAGAACAAGTTCATTAAAGTAGTTGTAAAATCTGCTTCTCTGAAGATAATGAAAAATTAGATAGATGCAATTTGTCTAAAGAAATTCAATGACAGGCAGGCTCTAACAAGGATGTGGGATTAGCTACCTGCCTAAAACTGTCCTAACAGGATGAGTTTAAGATTTTTTTTTTTCAATGTGTAGCTGAATTACAAGTAGTTTCTTTGACACTGAGGCTTTGTGTACAATTACATAATTATATCTATCATGTAATACATATAGTTATAAGGATTCTAAGTCTAAAAGCACAGCAATCCTATTCTTTTGTCTGCATACTTATAAGACTCCTTAAAGAGCTCAAAGGGTTGAGGGTTTTCCTACAGTCAGAAATTTCTCAGTTTGCTCATAAAAATTCTCATCTCATTTAAGCACAATGTTAACATTCTCTGGACTCTTTTATTTATATCTTTTTAGCATACTGTGTACATGTATAGATAAAAATGGACCAATATAATCCTATTCTAAATAAGATTCCAAAATAAAATTTTTATATTGTTCTGTAGAAATCACTTTTTAAAATTAAGACAATTTCAACTACCTTGTCTTGTTTTCTTATTATTTCTTTTTCAGAGAAATGCAGATATCATTTAACTCATCCATTTAGGAACAAAAAAAACCCCTGAAACTATATTTCCATTTTAGAGTAAGGAAAAACTGAGTCACAAAAAACCCCTCAAATATTGTTTTATTTTTTAGATCCTTAAAAACAGAATCATCTAAAGAAATACAGAAATGACATAATAGACAAAATGTAAAAGAAGAGAGATATAACATGTTAAAACCTTTTTTCCAAAAAGTAACTCACCGAAGTTTCCTTCCTTTGCTGGCTTTCCTATCCACTTTCTTGTGAATTTTGCTTCGTAACTTCTGGATTGCAAGCCACTGCCTGGGAAATTCACAAGCAATGTTACGCATCGTCACTAACAGAAATAGTTATACGAATTGACAAATTGGAATTTTTCCCACTAACAACACTGCAGAAAGAAATCATCAACCTACTTCAAGTTCCTTAAGATAGTTGGGGGCCAAAGTGACTAATCAATTGAAGAGGATTTGTGCAATGGTAAAAAAACAAATGGCAGCTGTGAAATTCTACAGCAAATTTGGTTTACAATGCTCCTTAGTATTTGGAGTTGCTGTGACAAGCACTAAATCCACCAGTTTGTAAAAAAAACCTATCAAATTGACTACAGCTGCTTGGGTTTGTTTTTATGTTTTAGCTGTGCAGCAAGTTCTATTACTAATATTGCAAATGCTGTGTGGTTTGAACACATGAATTCTTTAAATGGAATTTTCCTTTTATTAATACCCAACTGCTTTTTCTTGTGCTTTCCAATTTTTGCTAATTTTTTATAATTATCATTTTAGTCATTTTATTAATTTTCATTTCATCTATAACATTTTAGAATGTGCTGCTAAAAGGTAAGGGGGCTCTCCCCCACCCCATATAATCTCACTACCTTTGTCACATTTACAAAAAAGTTAACAATAATTCTTTACTATCAAATATTTAGTCACTCTTCAAATTTTCCGGATTGTACCAATTTTACAGTTAGTTTGTTTGAGTCAGGATCCGAACAAGATTCACATATTCTACAGTCATTCTAGATTAAAAGGAATTAATTTTTCAAAAAAGGATACTGGGCTAAGAAAATCTTCACATATAGCTTGTATGAACGTATGTGAAAAAATGAAGAAGAAACAGCAACAGCTAGTCATCTTACCTGATTTATACAATGAAAACTCAACATCAGAAAAAAAAAAAACTAGGGAAATTCAATTACCGTAATCTTAATATAATCTTAATTACCATGATCTATTTTATTGTAAAGTGAGATAAATGTACAATATAATCACCACTTAAATACAATTTGCTCTATCACATTAAATTTATAGTGAACAGTTCTCTATAACATTCTAGAGAGACACAAAATATCAACAACATCAGATCCTGAAATTCAAATAATGTTTTACTCAAATAGAATTATTTCATCAACACAGATTTTTCATTGCATTCTCAAAATACTTCTCTGCCCAGAATCCCATTCTGGCACTTGCAGCTTTTGTTTCCTTTCCTGCTTTTGCAAATTATGGCTCATGGCTATTTAAATGTACACTATTCATTAGGTAGTACTCTAAATGCCCTTTTTATTTTCCAAGCAGAGGATGAAGCATACACACAAGAGCCTTCCTTCACTACTTTACATTCTACCCTGACATCTGGGTAATGCTGCCACTTTCCATTTCTAATTGTGCTGAAGCTTTTACTGAAGGGGTGGAGGTCTAAATCAGGGCAGACTCTAACAAAGCAGATTCTCCTATGAGCAAGGAACCTGTTGTGCACAGTGCCACATTCTGACAGCTAAGAGCACACATTTCAGTGGTTGCTTTTTATCCATTGGTTGTAATTTTCCTTTTATTAATACCCAACTGCTTTTTCTTGTGCTTTCCAATTTTTGCTAATTTTTTATAATTATCATTTTAGTCATTTTATTAATTTTCATTTCATCTATAACATTTTAGAATGTGCTGCTAAAAGGTAAGGGGGCTCTCCCCCACCCCATATAATCTCACTACCTTTGTCACATTTACAAAAAAGTTAACAATAATTCTTTACTATCAAATATTTAGTCACTCTTCAAATTTTCCGGATTGTACCAATTTTACAGTTAGTTTGTTTGAGTCAGGATCCGAACAAGATTCACATATTCTACAGTCATTCTAGATTAAAAGGAATTAATTTTTCAAAAAAGGATACTGGGCTAAGAAAATCTTCACATATAGCTTGTATGAACGTATGTGAAAAAATGAAGAAGAAACAGCAACAGCTAGTCATCTTACCTGATTTATACAATGAAAACTCAACATCAGAAAAAAAAAAAACTAGGGAAATTCAATTACCGTAATCTTAATATAATCTTAATTACCATGATCTATTTTATTGTAAAGTGAGATAAATGTACAATATAATCACCACTTAAATACAATTTGCTCTATCACATTAAATTTATAGTGAACAGTTCTCTATAACATTCTAGAGAGACACAAAATATCAACAACATCAGATCCTGAAATTCAAATAATGTTTTACTCAAATAGAATTATTTCATCAACACAGATTTTTCATTGCATTCTCAAAATACTTCTCTGCCCAGAATCCCATTCTGGCACTTGCAGCTTTTGTTTCCTTTCCTGCTTTTGCAAATTATGGCTCATGGCTATTTAAATGTACACTATTCATTAGGTAGTACTCTAAATGCCCTTTTTATTTTCCAAGCAGAGGATGAAGCATACACACAAGAGCCTTCCTTCACTACTTTACATTCTACCCTGACATCTGGGTAATGCTGCCACTTTCCATTTCTAATTGTGCTGAAGCTTTTACTGAAGGGGTGGAGGTCTAAATCAGGGCAGACTCTAACAAAGCAGATTCTCCTATGAGCAAGGAACCTGTTGTGCACAGTGCCACATTCTGACAGCTAAGAGCACACATTTCAGTGGTTGCTTTTTATCCATTGGTCAGAGATTGATATAGATACAATCACAACCCAAACCAAAGAGCATAGAGTGTAAAAAGGACTTAGAAAAACAAACCTTAAAACAAACACATCTAGGTGTTTTATAATCTCTTATTCAAACTGCATTTAAGGCAACGTAGGGTGAAAAATTAGGATTTCCATCACTTTGTCTTTCCAGCTCTTACGATTTTGCTTAACTTTTATAATTATAGGGCCAATCACTGCCTTGGAGGTAGAAGTAAGGGGACTCACAAGGAGAAACTATTGTATAGGCTGCTTGCATGAACAGAAAGCCATATCTAAGTTACCTTCCCATGGCCACCTGATCATTGGGATCCAATGAGCTGGTCTTCCGTTCTATGAGTTCTCGAAGAAGCTAGAGGAAAAAGGAAAGCAACTGATTTATTTATCATCTCCCAGCACTAACTAACTTTAAAAGGGCACAGTAGGAATTCTGAATGGCATAGTGACAGCTCTAAAACTACAATCAATAAGAGACAACCCAGTGGCAAGAGCATGACTGAATTCTCATTAACCCTTTCATATTTATATATCTTTAAAAAGGTGGCTATAGCAATAGCTGGGAACAGGAGTCCATTTGGAAGACTTATTGTACTGCAGTTCATTTCAAATGGATCAATGAATGTGCAACATTCCCTTCATTGTTTTTATGATTAGTTTTGTCCACCTCATCGATATCAACGGAGAATCTTTAAAAGGTCAGGTGGGAAGGGCTGTGTGGCAAAAAGGAAAATACATCAGCTTCTCACCAATAGGATAATGGTACATGGTTAACTTCTGACCTATAACCTCCAGCAATCAAAAGGTCTTCCTCAGGCAAAAGCCTTTATTATATATAATTAAAAGTGTGGACTTCATTCTCTTGCTTTCCATAGCTGGTATTCTAACATGCTGACTATTAAGTGATTTCACCATATATGACACTGACACATTCACAGCCACAATAATTTTGAGAGGGAGCCTAAAGAAAGCCATATGTGCCTACTGCAAATACAACACATAGAACCAGTCTCCCATCTTATACAATTAACTCCATGAGAACTCTAAACTACTGTCCTACTCTCCGCTTAATACTGGGTAGTCCACTGCATGTAATCAAAGTCTAAATCTATATCTTTCACACAGATGTAAGAATCTGCATTGGATCTTAAAGTCCTAGGTGAAGAGAAGCAATGGATTTAAAAGTTAAACATTAAAAAAGGAGACATTTAAATTACAATAATAAAATGACATATCTCTCCTATATAAGTGCTACATACAAGAAAATAGCAAGAGATAAAAATTTCAAAAATCTTCTGAGAGAAATCTACGAGAAGATACCAAAATAAACTAGTTCTTGCTAATCATCTGTCTATAATACAGGTTTGACTTTAAAATTTGTTATTTCACAAAAATAAATGTTTTGTAGGTAAGGCATGGTAGCAATATAAATATTTCACCAAGTTAAATAGCTGAAGTCTTTGGGAGAAGCAGGAGGAGGAATAAATTCCTATGAAAGTATTTCATTCTCTCATTTTCATTTGTTTACGTAAGTAGGCACTGGAAGAAGGAAAACAAATTTATAAAAATATGAATTTCCATATAAGATGAATCTTTATTGCAAAAGGGAAAAGGATAGCTCAATTGCAATTAAAAAACTGCCTGTGATGTTTTTTCATTTGCTTATTTTGGACATCATTACTACAGCAATTACATTTAAAAATGTGGGGACCAGAGGCCACTGGTTTATTATCACTAGAAAACAGCAAGCTATTTCTTTACCCTGTTTATCTGATTGATTCCCAACATCTTTCTGGCAGCCAATCTATCAGTTTATCTCTCCTACTTCATCACAGTCACTTCTGGCAGCTAAATACAAGATCCAAATCCAGTGTTACACAGACATACGACACAGTAAACCTATGTAACACTGCTACTCTGTAAACAGCTGCCCTTAAGGCTAAGCAAAAATGGGCTTCTGGTCCCTAGTCAATATGCTGTCAAAAGCAAGGTTGGGGTGGAAGGAAGGGAGGAGAGGTTAGTAATAAAAAAAAAAATTTAGAATAAAAAGAGAAGAAAAAGAAGAGAAAGAAAACATAAAAAGGAAGAAAAATGAAATGACTGCATCTCAATGCCTTTACCTTGTTCCAGCCACATGAGAGATTACAACAACTACTGGTTTTCCTAATTGTCTCTGATCCCTTGAGACTGGGGCCATCATGGCCACTGGGGGCAACTGCGCATGGAAGGCTGCCCCAGCACAAAAGGGGTGATCCTCTGGAAGAAAGCCCCATATGCCCTTCCCGAAGGCTGAAAATTGGAGCAGCACAACTGCAGTGGATCTATTTCACTTGCAGTGGCCTCTGCAATTCAGAGTTGGTACAGCATTTATTTTGAAGCGCTCTGTGTACTTCACATATTCTGGATTACATTTTTGCTACCCAAGCGCCTTGCACAGATCTTCTTATTTATTCGTGATTAGGAAGATGGTTTTCTTGCTCTGTCTGGCTGAGTATAGTTTATTCAGTACAATGTTTCAGAAAATCCTGCAGTATGCAAGGTAGGAATAAGAGAGTAGCAAGAAAATACAAGAAAACCATTCCTATTACTATTTCTCACAGCTATCACTATCACCATGTTTAAATTTAGTTAGGAAACTGCCTTCAAAACAGTTGATGAAAAAATGAAGCTTTGGGGATATTGCTAAAGAATTTAATTCAATTTTTATAGCTTACCTTTAAAAACATTCTTTTCCATTAAAACTCAGGTTTCTGTTCCAGTTATTGGAGCTTTTAATTTTGACAATGATATCACAGTATTTGAAATTTTCTATGTGACTGAGAAAATGGAGAGATGTATAAAATATTCTTGTTCTAGTCTGTTATAATTCTCCAAAGAGTTAACTCGGAAAAGCTTGATTATTTCTCTAGTTCTAGAGGAAAATCATAGATGTCATTAGGTTTCCAGGTCAGCCCACAAAAACCTATTTAACCCATAACAACATACATGAGGAATAGCACTGCTAGTACTATTCAGCATCTAATCAGCGTTTATAATACTTTGCCAGGAAAAATGCATGCCAGAATCAGTTAAAAATGGCAGATTGAACACATTAGTTTATCTCTTCTCTCTTCTCAACTTCTCTAAAAGACAACAGAGGAAAAAATAAATGTATTAATCCACAAGAAAGAAGAGAAAGGGAAAGCTAATGAGAGCATATTTTCATAAAATTTTCAGACAGTCAGGTGATGGAAGAGTGAAAGGAAGTTATCACTCAAGTGCCCAGAGGGGATAAAAGTGAAGGTGGAGCTAATTAGGCCTCGCATAATCCCCATGAGAGTGAACTCTTGGGGTAGCAGTTACCATGAAAGGTAGAGAAGGGGGAGGGGACAGAACTACTGGGCCTTCTCCATTATTCCACACAGCCAAGTGACTAACCCCCTCTACCACCTCCTCTCACCTGGTGGAGGGTGGGAGAGAAGTTTAATTCTCTGGAAAAACTGAGCTACAGAAGCTCTGGACTGAGAAATATGAGGCACAGAAGGCTGGGATGAGGTAAAAAGGAAAGATGCTATGCTAATATCTGGGACCTTCTGCCTCCTCCCCCAGCCCTATGCACAGAATGCTAGCACCCAGATATAAAACTGCCTAGATAGGAGAGCAAAGGAGTCTTTTCTGGAGAAATGGCATGGTCGATCCCCCCTCTTCCCAGAAAATAAAATTTCCAAGTTCTGACATTTGAGAGCATTCCAGTCAAGAGAGGTAAGTTCACAACAAAATTGTAAAGGAGCCAAAAAACTCTGCTCAGGTTTTAGAGATACCTTTGAATGCCTTACTCTTAATATGAAGAGACAGTTAAAGATCACCAGCATCTGTGGAAAGCCTCAGACACAGACCAAAACAAATAGAAAAAAAAAGGGCTCAAGAAAGCAATGCAGAAAATAAATCTTGGACAAACAGAATGAAGGAAAGGAGAAGGGAAGGAAGGAAGAACTGAGGAAAAACATCCTCAGAGAAGTGAAAGAAGATATACTTCCATAAGAACTGGATGCTCTTAAGAGTAAAACAAAGAGTTAAACAAAAAAATAGGAAAATAAACTTCAATAGAACGAAAAGATAAATGTATGAAAATCAGATATAAAACGAAAAGGCAAAAAGATAACATCCTCTTGGCTTGAGAGAAAAGAAAAAAATTTAGAAGGCAACCCAGAATGTCAAACATCTAACAAAGGCTGGGACATTATTAAAGAAATAATAATGAAAATTTCCCCAAATTGAAGGACAGCAGTGAGCCTAAAAGGATCTAGTACAATGAACAAAAAAGACCTTTCCCAAGACACATCATCATGAAATGTGGAACACTAGAAGTAAAGAGAAGATCCTAAACGATTAGAGAAAAAATAGGTCACATATAAAGAGGGAAACCGCATGTCCTAGTTTGCCCCAGAGTCCCGGTTTATACCTGTTGTCCCAGTATTCTTTCAGGCAAGCACCTCAAGTGTCCCAGTTTTGACAATAAATTATTGTCACCCTATCTATTAAGGAATGAAAATCTAAATGGGATTAGACATCTCAATAGCAATAGCAGATACCAGAGGACGGCTGAGCAATGCCTTCAAAATTCTGAGGAAAATGACTTTCAACCTCAAATTCCATGCACAGCCAAATATTAACCAAGTATGAGAGTTACATGAAGACATTTTCACACATGCAAGGACTCAACAATTTACTTTCCACACACTCCTTCACAGGAAGACGTGCTTCAGTAAAATGAGAGCATACAGCAAGGAGAAAGACATGAAATGTTAGAAAACAGGTCTAACTCAGGAAAAGAAGCAAAGGCAAGTCCCAAGACTACAGATGGCAGAGGCCCAGAAAGGAACAGAGTCCAAGGAACTCTAGAAGGGAGTCCTCCAGAGGAAACATCAGAGGGAGGGGAAAGTGATAGGTTTTATATATATATGTGTGTGTGTATACACACACACACACACACACACACACACACACACACACACACTCAAGGCATTTTGAGTATGTGGGAAGAAAAATACCAAGAGATACATAGAAAACTAAGCAAATCTTTTTTAAAAAGGCATTATTAGCTCTAGGAAAAAATAAATTTGTAAGAAATATAATCATAGTATATTACTTGTGAACAACATCTATATAGTCATAATACTGTAAATACTCTTTTTTCACAAAACGGTGACAATAAGTACACCAGAATGGAGAACTAAAGTGTAGAGAGAGGGAGTATAGGAAAGTGAGGGCCTCACTACCATAATGGGAAGTCAAGAGATGATTTGATAAATGATTGAAGTTGATAATTCAACAGTAGTATAAATTATTTTATTTAAAAATACGCAAGTAATTAGA